TTCGTTCGACGAAGACGTACCTATCAGGAATCACAGCAGTAATGATAGTGGCGGTGTCAGCAAGGAAACCACGGATCGTCTTGCAAAACGAAAAGCCCAGCGGGAGAAAGATGAGAAAGAGAGGAAGCGGAAAGCTGCAAAGTTGGATGACATACCCACGTTTTTGTTCTGAGTTGTTTGCCGTCATTAACAGATCTTGAGTTCGTCGCTGCTGTGTTGGGAAATTACTTTGAGAATATACTTGATACCCTTGGTTGCGAGTTTCTCTAGGCTGTTTGGGTACAAGGATGCTTGTCTTTTAATGATAGGATGCACCCCGAACATTAGACCATACCCTAAATCTATACACTGTTACTTTGTTGTTTGGCTTGTCATCATTTCATCATGTACACTCTCTAGGTTCATTGAGAAGGGATAGGCTTCTCCAGGACCCATCGTATTCGTTATTGTCATGAATCTCATACATTTTCATAAGTCTCATGTGTGCTACCCTAACGGGCACATGTATGACTCCAAAAAGAGAGACATATGGTCTCAAGAGCGAGCCAACAAGTAGGGGCTTCTCCGACCCCAACAGCAGCTGTATCATCCGCCGCAGGAGCCTATCCGAACAACTTGTCCAAAACACGGTTGAAAGCATTGGTCTCTGGCTTCTCCACAAACGTACGATGGTACTCTTCGATCTCGGCGAGATCAGTCACAAGATCCGCTTCGTGTGCTGGAATCCACTTTGTTCTCTTAAGAAGCTTCCAGAATATGAAGAGGACGGGAAACGCGAACACCCTGTCCCATAGATCAGCACTTCGCCATATTGATGGTGGAGACAGCCACGAAGGTGAATACTTACATCAAGTACGAGAACAGGAACGAAGGTACATCCCACATTCCCTTCAAAAACACAGTATAACCTAGATGTGGGTGTAAGCATTAGTCTATGTCTCACATGCACTTCTTGTGTGGATAACTAACCTCCAACGAACGTCATAACGAAAGTCGTGACGAGGCCATACCATGCCGCGTAAGGCTGTGCCATACCTTTGTATGGCAGTGTGTCTCGATCCAAACCCTGTACCTTACACGCCTTGTAGAACTTCAGGAAGGTAAAGCACATGACGCTGAAGTTGATAAGCTGGGACGCCGTTACCAAGCTGACGAACCAGTTTAACACAACAGCAGAGTTTTGGCCAAGCTGAAGGAATGAAAGGAGGGCAATCATGAGGACGAAGAGGACACAGTAGAAAGGCACACCTTGCTTTGTGCACTTTGTAAGAAATTTAGGTGCCTTTCCTTCCAAAGCAAGACCGAAAAGGGAACGAGATGCGCAGTAGACGTAGGAGTTTCCGGCGGAGAAGGCGGAGGCGAGGACACCAGCATTGACAACGTGAGGTAGGCCTTCGATACGGAGTCGGTTCATGGCGATGACGTAGGGTGAAGCTGCCGCACCTGGCTTGCCGTCACGGAAGGCGCCAATCAACTCTGGGTCGTTGAAAGGCACGTTGATACCCACGGCTAGCGAGCCGAGTACGAAGAAAGTGGTCAAACGGTAGAAGACGGCGTTGTAAGCGCGAGGCATGACTTTGCGTGGGTTCTCTGTCTCTCCTGCAGCCATAGAGACATAATCGGGTCCGGCAATTGTGAAAGAAGCCTGGATCAGGCACTGGAGGAAGCCTAGGAAGCGACCGAGCTGGCCTTCGTAGTAAAGTTCTGTGAAACTCCCCGGGTTCTTCCAGTAGCGGAATCCGTAGCGGTCTTTCTCAGGGTTGCCTCCCAACATGGAGATGAAGGTAAAGATGAGCAGGCCGATGATAAGAAGCACTTTACCGATGGCGGCCCAGAACTCCGTCTCACCGTACCATTTGACGGCCATCATGTTGATTACACTAGAATTTTGTCAGTACTTGGTTCAATTGCATTGCCTAGAGAACTACTAGAGGGCAAAAGCTGAGCACAATGCTTCACAGTTACTCTGAAGCAGGCGCCAAAAGCATGCAAAAGTCGGATTGTAGAAATGGAGTCGTCGACGTACGCGTAGAGCACGAGCACGATGGCGATGATGGCGCCTGTGGGCACTACATCAGACCAGAACCCGATAATGACATTGCAAGCCACGATTTCAAAAGGCACGAGAGCAGCTTCGAAAACGAAGAAGTTCCAGCCAGCAGCGAATCCAAACGCATCGTCCACGAATCTTCCAGCAAATCGAATGAAGGGTGAGGATATGGGGAGAAAAGTAACCATCTCTGCGATACCTGTGGAATTGCATTAGCTGTAGCTCGGCATCTTAGCGCGAGCGGTAAAGAAGGGTGCTTTGGGATATTGGATAAAGTGCTTGGGCTTTGTCGCTATGGGAAGGACTTGTCGCTTTGGAAATTGGGAGATGGAGAGTCTCACTGAGCGTCACAGCTAGAATGACAGTACACCTGTACAATATTAGCACTAGCTCGTCGCCGTAGACAACGCGATTGAGATTGCATACCATAGCGAGAATGCAAGGAACAGACTTCCAGGACCTCCATTCATCAAACCTCGACCAATCTGCACATATAGAGCTGTGCCAATAGTTCCTCCAATACCGATAAGCTGGATATGTCTGCTCTTGAGCTTTCGGTGCGTCTGGTCGGTAATTGCTCTCACAGACCCGACTGCACTAGGGCGGCGAGGGCCATCATCGTAGTGGTTCTTCTCTTCATCGGCGGCAACGTAACCTGGGTTCTTCACCTCGTAAGGCCCACCGCCAGTTTCAAAGTCCTTGCCGTACGAGGTCATTGTAGTTCAAAGTCGTAAACCTCAAAGCTAGACTTCAGAGTATGGTTTTGAGAAGTAGAGCAAAATACTGCACTACGAAAGCCATGTACCAAGAATCAGGATATGGGGCTGTGTTCTTATGGGTTGTAAGCAAGGCTGATCGTCGTCGTGCGAGATAACAAACGGAGTTGCGGAGCGGGCTGTTAAATACCTCTCAGTTACTCTAGCGTGAGCAAGTGGAAACCCTGCATAGGCGGATTCCTCGTGGTGAACGCTGTAGATCGCGCTAGGCTGACTGGGCATTCGCAACTATCCCGCTTCTTTGAGGTTTGGGCTGAATGTTAGTGGAGGGCGAATTGCAGATGAGCGATTTGGCGTTTGCCATGGTGGGGCTGCGCCAGGCATATTCACATTTCCTCTGTCCTTCACTGGCCAAACGGCTGTTCATCTGGGGGAATATTCAGGGCTGGTGAATCCTTGTCTCGTGCGCCGCGTGTTGGGCAAAAGACCCGATAACGACGTTTTTGGTGCAGGGGTCGAGGTACCCGGCATCGCTAGCTGGACATTGTTGGTTAGGAGAGCCCCCATGCGGGGTCCTGCGTACACAATCAGCGCTGGCGCAGCCCACTGTACTCTCGAGACCGTGAATGCTTCGTATGATGCATCTAGCAGGCTCTTTCGCATGTCCAGCTCGCGCAATTCTTGCTATCGGGCCACATCGTCTTCCCTGTCGGCTTCTCCGAATCCTTCTCACCAGTTTTGTGGGACAAAACCCCTCCATCTCTTGAGTGTATCTTGGCCTGCGATTGTTCTCCAATGACCGAGCCCGCGTTGTTTTTCGAACGGCTGAAGCTACCTTGGCGTTTCTAGGCTGGTGGGTTGGCTCCAGGCTTGCTTCCTTGCCTCCGCTGTATGCCAGAGGCTTGTCTATACTTCGGAGGCGGCCACTAGCTCGGACCCAAGCCAACTTCTAGTCCTCACTTGACAGCCCCCCCCGCTGCATCGAAAAGGACTAGAAGCTGCGTGCCGTAAATCGAGACTCTTGCTTGGTAGATACGTAAACTCGTGTGTCGCTTTCCTTGCCTATGGGGAATGACGATGTAATGCTGAAATGCTGCGATGTGACGCTACAGCGCCACGAGATAGCGTGTTGGCTGTCAGGTTGTCAGCCTTAGGTCGCTTGAGCCAGCCTCTTTCTTCATTTAAGACATAAGTCATGATACCTCTGCCAAGCAAGCTTCAGCTTACCGGTGGATGTAGAAATAACGCACCCCACGCTGTCGCTGACTCTTGGCGGGAAGTCCTTGCTCATGCTTCGCCTCCCCGAACTACACAGGACGATAGCTTTCCATCTGCAGACCTTCCTACACCGATGTGTTGACAGTAAGGTTATTATGGAGGACGGTTGGCAGATACCATGCTTTGCTGATCTGTGAGTGCGAGTCGCGCATAGTAAAGCAGCGTATAGAGACTTCCTCCCATCATCCTACACGTTCGAAATACCGCGACCAAGAAATCCACAAAGCTTGGGATTACGTATACCGGACAGGCAACCAGGAACATCGCGTCTGCCATCACTTTCTGGCTTGTTCATATATCCTGCGCTTCTGCAGTACGGATCGTCGGGCGACCGGCCGTATGCTAACTCGGGGAACGGTGCGACATTGCGATACTGGACATCGCGACAGCGAAACTTTTGCATTCTGCAGGCGGGTCGCGACAAGTACTTGAGAAGTTGAAAACATGCATAGGCGCAAATACTATGACAACAGTCGGGGCAGCAGGTGCTTAAGAGCTTTGAAGTTATCTTGGGATCCAGAGCTGTGAGTGGCTACTTTGAGAGCATGCGGTTCGTAGCCCATGAGCCGAGGTTCCGTTGTAACAACCGACCTAAGGATTGAAACTTGTGGTGCGCATCGTGCTCGGGCGATGATTTGATGATTCTGAGGGCGTGTTTGGTGTTCATTACGGTGCTCCGGACACTTCAGTGGTTACGGATAGAGAAAGGAAGGCACGACGCAATGTAGTTGCACGATCTCGGCGAGCTGGTGACGGCCAAATGGCCACTTCGTGAAGAGATGGGGCATTCAAGAAGTAGGGGTTTGGTCATGAGGAAAAGCAGATTACGAATTAGTCATAATGTGGTCACTGGACCCTAGATATACATGTTAGAGGTACAGTTTATGAAACCCACCTCCCCCGATGGCGCCTTCGCTGAACTGATGCATGCTTGATAACCGATAGCGAGTGAATCGCTAGAGAGAGTCGCGACCGACAGGCTTCCGCTTGACAGAGGGACTTGATGAAACTTTCGGCAAATCTGCAGTAATGTCCTTCATGGTCATGAAATCCTCGTCCTCTGTACGCTCCAGCTCCCGGTTCAACTTCTCAGCCGTCGTTACTTCTCCCAACCATCGCTCTCCAGTTTTGTGATCGAAATGCACTGGCTGAACCAGTCCTTGATAGCGCGACATATCTGCCAGCTTTGGTGGATAGATGATAGTCGTCTCCCTACGTTCGAAGCCCTCTTCGGTTATGTACGGCTTTCCCTCAATAATCTGCGGCTCCGTGCGCCATTCGAATGGAGTTGCTGGAAGGACTGGCTCCTTCTGGACTATGTCCCACCATCTGTTCTTACCAGTACGATTTGGCAACTCGTCGGCAGAAATCTCGATCAAGCCCTCTCCATCAGGATTGGGAATGAAGTGACGAGGGGGGAGGACCTCGGTCTGAAGAACCGGCTGTAGCCGGTGGTAGTATGTATAGTTGTGGATCTCGCGGTGGATGCGCTGCTGTATAACCTCGTGCTCATGTGGCTTGATAACTTCGTGTACAACGGCTATCGGTCTGTTAGACATATCGCAACCATTGAGTGGGACGGAGCTTACCTGGGGCGACGGTGACATCCTTATCCGTATCCACAGTATCTTTCAGATTCACAACGCCTTCAAGCATAGCTTTCTGCTTCGTCTTCCAGTCATGACTACCGTCCATGCCATGTTGGTCCTTCGTAATTGCAAGACCTGGAACAGGCTTCACAGCCAGCGCATCATCCTCGGCAGACCCTCCCACCGGATGACCACTCTTCATCAGGCCATGGTTCTCATATGGAGAACTCTCTCTGTGCGATCGAAGGCTATCGTTAAAGCCGGCGTTGCTGACTTGGTGTCTGGAGGGTTCAGACGGTACTGCGCGTATTGTGCTGCCAGGGCCAGTACTATCGATCAGGTGTTTGGAGCGATCGACGCGATGATGACTTGAAGAATCTGCTACTACGTCAATGTTTTGTCACAATATTCTGACTGTTTTCTCTGGCGTACTTGGTGTGTCGGGAAGAGGCTTCAACCGCCCCGCATCAGTCGATGGTCTATATCGAAGATGTCTGTCTGGTACGTCTGCCTCGGCCATTGGGTCTTCTTCAGAAGCTAAAGCTGGAAGGTAAGATCTGTAATCATCCGCAATGGATCCATTGAGGTCCGTGTTCGGAGCTGCTGCCGCATGACTCGCTCGTCCGTCGTGGTAGGCAGAGTCCCGTGGTTGACTCCTCGTGTCCGAGTGAAAAGCATCGTTTGCGACTGCGGAATCTTGCTGGAGACGGCTGCGCGGTGATGCTGGGTGCTGCTGGGTGCGCGGACTAGTCTCCTCGGACTGTTCGTACGAGGCCCGAGGGGATTGCGTGGGCGTAGACTTCTTTCTCCTATGGAGAACGGACTTGAGCTTCTCTTCGATTTTTTCTTTCATGTCGGCGGTTCAAAATGCAGAGGAGTGACAAACGCAGGTGAAAGCTAGGTGCGACGCCGATCTATTGTCTGATTTCACGAAGCACGGTGACAAAAGTAAGGGTGAATGACCTCACAGCACCTGCAGGCAAACGAAACCTTCAGCACCGTCCGGCAGGAACGAAGCCGAAGCCTGGAGAGTGTGCATACAACTAGCTAGGATGCATATTTGGAGCTTCTGGAGTCTGGACATTTGAGCAAACGGTCCGCGAGAAATAATAGCTTCGCTGATGCCGTGTCACAGACGACGGAGCCAGTGCCTTGAGTCTTACACACGGCAACTTTGGAGTGCTCTCGCCCCGTGTTCGCGGCGTCCGCGGAGTGGTCTAGACTTGATCCTCTCGTAAAGCTCTCTTTCTCTCTACTCGACTGAGTCTACTCGAGCTGGTGGCATATTTTGATGCAGTTGGTTCACGACAACGGCACGAGTGGCGACTCAGCATGACGTATTCCGCGGTACTTGTGTTTCGCAGCGTACGGCTGGTTATTCGGAGTACCGGAGGCATGCATGATAAAAGCAAACTGCATTCATTGCCGCATCGGTATGTCACAGTGGAGATCAGAGCGGCATGACGACAGGGAGGGGGAGTCTGGTCGCGGGCGGCTCCACTGTTGATCAACTTAGCGTACCAAAACAATGGCGATCTTGCTAGCATGCTCCTAGTCGCAGCCAGGCCACCGGGACTTCCGAGACATCTGGAGGCGCAGACTTGGGTGTGACGGGGGTTGATGGAGTTGTTGATGAAGAAAACAGCATTGTGTGATTCCTGAGATGTGCTGAAGCTGTTCGCGGGAAGCTGCACGGACCCGGTGTCACCGAATGGCAGGAGCACGACCCTAGCGCCGATCCCTCCGATCACTTAGATGTCGGGTCGCTCCTCTCCAGATTGGTCCAGCACTTGAACATTTTGAGAAGTTCACCCAGAGAGTGTTGCGACGCTTTGAATCCTTCGTGATGCCCAATTCCTGTTTGGACACGCAGCATGACTACATCATACCAACTAGGCTGCGGTAGGCGTGGAACGACAGCACCGGCTGCATCATAGTGCCAGTATGCATTGTCAAGCGTACCAGCATGGGGCGCCATGTTAAGCGCTACCCACTGAACTAATGTCCCTGACGTACATCAGGTGTTTGTGGCGCGCTCCCGGCCAACCAATCGACTCTCCTGGGAGCATCGATCGAGACTCAGATAGCTTCAATCCACTGTTGCTGCCCCACGATGATGGCTTCCTGCCCTGTGAACAAGGAACGCAGTCAGCACCTGCCGACGTTACCTGGAACAGAACTCCTCCATTACGTCGACGTGCATTTGTCCTACTAGCGTCCTCTCTGTATAAGAAGGCAGTGAAGCAGCGCCTTGAGAGCATCATCATCACACCTACCACAACTCTTCCACACCTCACCAACAACCAATCCACCACCCACACCAAAACTACTACCCAACAAACAACCACTACGCAATAATCAAAATGGACAAGGCCAAGGCAGCTATCACCGACTTCATGGGCCGCTCCGGTCACCACGACACCACTGTCCACGAGGCAGTTGCCCCCGCTGTTCAGCACGAGGTCATCAAGCCTCACGTACACGAGGAGATCAACACTGCCATTGACAAGGAGGTTCACCAGGACCACTACCACCGCACTGTCCAGCCCGTCCACGACCGTGAGGTCTTGCCAGAGCAACACACTGCTAAGCTCGGTGCTGTTCAGCACCGCGAGTTTGACCACCGCGATGCCGATGCCACTAAGAGGGCCTTGATCGACGACCAGGCTCGCTTTGCTGACGAGCGCCGCATTGAGGACACCACCCACAGCCAGAGTGTTGCCCCTACTGTTGGCGGAGAGCACGTCCACCACGTAAGTTGAACAGCAACACGTCAATACCCCACCAAACACTGACGTCATTTAGCACATCCACGAGACTATCCAGCCCGTTGTTCAGAAGGAGACCATCCAGCCCAACGTTGTCCACACCACCGTCCCCATCCATGAGGTTCACCATAACAAGGCTACCCACCATGAGACTACTGCTCTCCCAGCCATGACCATGGAGCAGTTCAAGGCCAAGGGCGGTGCTCTCACCGGCCGCGAGGAGCGCTACGACGAGTTTGAGGGTGTCCCGAAGAACATCGGTGGCGCTGGTGGCATCGGCGCTGCTGCAGGTCTCGCCCACAAGACCACTTCCCACGGCCACGAGCACGCCCGTCACGGCGACTATGACGCTACCCCCAACCACCACAGCGATGCTGGCCTGAGGGAGGGAGGTCTTACTCACAACTCTACTACTACCGGTACACACAACCCCCTTGACCGCAACAACGACGGCAAGGTCAGCGCCAAGGACTTGACTGGTAGCCACTCCAACACCTCCCACACTGACCGTGGCGTTGCCGGCCAGGGCAACCTGACCGGCTCTTCCACCCAGGGAGGAGTTGTTGGCAGCGGTGTTGGTGACCGCAACCACGACGGCAAGATCGATAGCCAGGATCTCAGGGACCCTGCACGCAGCGGTAAGTAATTCTTCTCAACACAAGCAGGAAACATTATACTAATTCAGACCAGGCAACCACGGTGCTACAGGTACGAAAGACCCCAGTGGACACGTCGTGGGCGGTACCGACAAGGGCCACATGGAGCACCGTCCCAACGAGGATGGCAGCTTGCCCAAGGCCCTTACCGAGGACCGCTCAAAGGCCATCCCCCACTCCCAAGCATCCGAAGAGGAAGCGCGAAAACTAGAATCTGAACATGAGGCCAACAAGAAATAGGTCAACACAAGCCTTCGCTGATGGACAAGCTCAACCCTAGTAAGTGTCATGTTCACATTACTATTTGTTGACATCTACTAACCATTTCCACAGAGGTTGACGCCGATGGTGACGGCAAGGCCGGTTTCATGAAATAGATGCATTTCACTACGCACAATCACGACGACTGCATGCGAGATACCAAGGAAAGCTTTCCTATGACATTGTATAATTAGCCTAGTAATGAAGTAATCACTACAACCTTCAACATAATGTCCTTCATTGTTCCATGATTCATGATGTTAAAGTGTCCTTTCACCTATAGGCTGCCACTGAAGAATTGGTTTGTCAGTGGGTACAAGCACCACCCTTCCGCCTGACCAACCACCTAATTCTCCTCTCTCTTCAAAGTTGACTTCAAGCGTATCAACTGATGCTAACCCGGTTTCGTCGACCTGGTTACAGTCGTGGCTGTGACAGTCAGCATTGACACGTGTTGGAGTTTGATAGACCTACTACATCAAGCTAAGATGTGGCATGTATTGCTCTTCAGCCCAAGTCTTCGAGTTTGTTTCATCTTCAAACCCATTGACGTGGCTTCTACACTGTTGTGCTAGTTGTTTGATCCCTGCAGCCTTCGCACACTTGATGTACAACTTCCGGAAGAAGACATCTTCGCTGCCTAGACGTTCGAATTTGATCTGTATGCTCTGTCCAGATGGTAGATCGAGTGATTCAAGCCAGGCCTGAGGATCCGATCCATACTTGGACGGCGATATCTCTGAAGTCAGAGTCACATGAGGAAGGAAGCGGTGGGGTGAGTTGAACTGTTTAGATGTTTTGTCGATAAGGCGAGGAAGGACTTCGTTAAGGGGATGGTCTGCTGGCGGAAGCAGCCATAGAGACGAACCAGGCATCTTTAAATATTGTCTAGAATCTCAAAGGAGGATGCAATGTCAAGTCAAGCATTACATACTCTCGTAATGCCCCGCACGGTGGTTGGGCACTAACGCCACGTGGCTAGTGTCCGAGTCAGCCACATCCTGACGTCTGCAGCTGACTTGCATGTGAAAGTCCGCGTCAAGTCCGACAAGCGTTCCCACATGCTCAACGGCACTACATCTCCGCAAACGCGACGAATGAACATGCGACTATTGACACAGCGGCGCTATCAGCCGATCACTATCCGAAATAGCTCTACGCCATGAGTGAAGCGCTGAACGTCGTGTCGGGAGCGCTGTGGAGTTTCCTCCTGTGCTTCTTCGACGTGGCTTTCTTTTGGCAACGAGTGCGTCAGCTTCCCTTTGCTACTGAATGGCCATTCTGGGTCAATTACTACATCTTCGGATAGAATGCTGATATGTTGAAGAAACTATACGCGTGGTGGGTGCAGAAGAGCCAGAGAGATCTACTTCTGGAAGCTATCGGTGATGCGCGGCTATTCGAGGAATGGGAGGCGGCTGCGTATAAGCTCGATGAAGTGCTCGACTACGACATGTGGTAAGCAGACTTGCCGTTCAATTCTAAGTGGAAATACTCGCACCGGAAAATTGCTGATAACGACTGCATAGGCGACAGACCGCCATAAGCAAAGACTACGACCATCGCCTTATCCATCAACGTCTCTCCGCCATCTACGAAGCTCAAGAGGACAATGACATCCTTGGGCTTATCAACCTTCTTCGCAGCGGGCTCGTACGCAATCTCGGCAACATAACAGCGCCGAACCTGTACAATCGCGCATACGCCGGCACGAAGCTATTGATCGAAGACTATGTCACGCAAGTCGCATACGCCATCGAGAACCTCACCCAATACCCTACGTCGCGAAACTCGGATACTGGCTTAACAAACCAGGCAAAATTGGATGTTCTCCATGACACAAGGCAAGCGTTTGGTAGATCTGTGTTGGTGCTGCAGGGTGGACAGGTCTTCGGCATGTGTCATCTTGGTGTAGTAAAAGCGCTCCATCTGCGTGGGTTACTACCTAGAATCATAGCTGGGACTGCTACGGGTGCTTTGATAGCGGCACTGGTGGGTGTGCATACCGAAGATGAGCTATTGGAGTTCCTGACAGGCAACACGATTGACTTGACGGCATTCACAAACCGTCCCTACAGGAAGGGCGCTGGAGGAACCGCTTGGATAGGCACACTGATACGCCGCTTGAGGCGATGGTGGAAAGAAGGGCACTTTCTTGATGTTGGAGTCCTGGAAAATGTCCTGAGGGCAAACGTGGGAGACTTGACGTTTGAAGAGGCTTATACGAGGACGAAAAGAGTGCTGAATATCACCGTAACGACAGCTAGTGGTGGAGGAATACCGAACCTTCTGAACTACCTAACCGCTCCTAATGTCGTAAGTACTTAGCCCTCTCCATGTGTACAAGCAGAGAATAACTTTCCTAGCTTGTCTGGTCTGCAGCTCTTGCCTCCAACGCCACAGCCTCCTCGACCCTCTACCATTCCGTAACAATGATGTGCAAGGACGATGAAGGCAATATTGTCCCTTGGTCTCCAGCTTCAAAAACCACTTTCCGTCCCTACACACACGCCTCGTACCGAGACCGCGAGTCCCCCCTTCATCGCATCGGCGAGCTCTTCAACGTAAACCACTTCATCGTCTCGCAAGCCAGGCCCTACCTCGCACCTTTCCTACGCTCAGACTCACATCATCCTAACCCCAAACAAGATGGCCGCTGGCGACTGAGCATGCCGATCCTGCGTCTGGTAGTTCTAGAGATTCAGCATAGGTTGCAACAACTCGACGAGTTGGGCCTACTGCCCCCTTCCATCCGTCGTTTCCTCTTGGACGAAAACATTCCAGGCCCAAGTCTCACGCTGGTGCCTGAACTTACTCCAAGCGACTTCTTCAAGCTGCTCGAGAATCCCACGAAAGAGGCGATTGACTATTGGATATTGAAGGGAGAACGGAGTGTTTGGCCGGCAGTCACAGCGCTCAAGATCAGGTGTGCGATTGAGGTGGAGTTGGATAGGGGATACCAGCTTGTGAGGAGGAGGAAGCCTTTTGATCCTGTTCCACCAAGTGGGGGTTTGAAGAAGAGCGGGAGCAGAGGGGATGTACAGACTGCTTACGGGTTCGAGGATGATGGAAGAGCAAGGGAAAAGAGACAAAGAGCGAGGGCTGCGAGCTTTGGGGGAAACGGGTACTTTTGAGCAAGCACGAAGATGCTCGGTTTTGATGCGTTGTAGGTTGGCCAGAGAAGTTACCTGAAGGTATACGCAGTACTTTACATCAACATACTGTGAAACGAGATACCGTGTATGTCTTCAGGGCAGACTATCATCGTGGACTCAAGTTACTGGGTACAGCTCAAATGGAACAAGCTTCTATGCACTTCGCGGTAACTTTTCCTTGTTTCTTCATGGCCACTGGCTGTACCTGAAAGTGATTGAGTGGGCCCCATGGAAGCATCGCATTAGTCCTACCTATCTAGACATAGTCTCATGTCTTGTGTGAGGAATGTTTTCCGCTCTCAGCCTTACCCGCTCATGAGTGGACCTGTATCGCGTCATTAACGCTAAAAGAATTCGATGTTTCTCAACAGCCTAGAGATCGCGTTTGAAATACTGGTCGTCCGTTCACCCGTCAATTGTCGGCATAAGATACCTTTACTCTACAGCAAACCTCATTAGACTTTATTTTCTCTCACTTCCTTGTCTTCCTCACCAGTTCTGAACCTCCATCACAGCTTTCAAAATGTCAACGTGAGCCCCACTATACCTACCCCGCGTCAACGCGCAACACAGAAAACACGAACTGACAATCTGAACAGCAACATCACATGGCACCCATCGCTCTCGCGCGACGAGCGCAACACATACCGCAAGCAGAAGGGCTTCACCATCTGGTTCACTGGACTATCTGCATCTGGCAAGTCGACCATTGCGACAGCACTGGAGCAGCATCTCCTCCATCTTGGATTCGCGGCATACCGTCTTGATGGCGACAATGTCCGATTCGGACTGAACAAGGACCTTGGGTTCAGCGAGAAGGACCGAAACGAGAACATTCGAAGAATTGCTGAGGTACGACATTTTGCGCAGAATACGCCTGCGAGAGAGTTTGCCAGCTGACATATCCCTTTACAGGTCGCAAAGCTCTTCGCTGACTCGTCCACAATCGCCATCACATCCTTCATCTCTCCCTTCAAGGCCGACCGCAAGCAGGCGCGCGAACTGCACGCTGTAACCACCGGCTCAGACTCTCCCTTGGCTTTTGTCGAGGTCTTCGTTGACTTGCCGCTCGAAGTCGCTGAGGCGCGTGACCCCAAGGGTCTGTACAAGATGGCAAGGGAAGGCAAGATCCCGGAATTCACAGGTATCAGCTCGCCCTACGAGGCACCTGAGAACGCCGAGATTCACATCAGGAGTGACCAGAAGAGTGTTGAGGACAGCGTCAAGGAGATTATCGAGTACTTGCAGAGCAAGGGCTTATTGGAGCTCCAGAAGTAGGTCTCTAGATGAAGGGACAACAAGGCCTAAAGCGACATAGGATCACGAAAGTTCCATTGCTGCTTGGATTGAATAAATAATCGAACAAGATTGGCAGACTCCTACGTCGATGCACGAAGGATGATCGAAGCTGACCAAAGACTTTTGCAAACTATTCGTCTCTTCACACAGACTAGGATGGTTACACATACTAACGCCCAGGTACCGTCCAGACTCCATACATAAGTTACAACCACGCAAAAATCTCCCTCCTAGGAGTTGATAGCCATAAGCAGCTGTTTCACTAGCCGCCCTACGCGCGCATAACGTAGTCGCATCAATCTCTACAGCCATACGTATACCGCGTACTCTGCTCGCTCAGATTACTGCATCAGTCCGTTCAAGCACGTTTGGGGTCATACTGGGATGTGTAGAGGAAGGGATTTCCAACAGTTCATACGGCACAGTCTTAGTCGACGTGAACGATCCTGATGACGCTCCATGCCGCAATGGCAAAGCCACCTGATCCCTGCCTCGAGGAACGAAACCCGAGTGGCTGGCTTTGGGACCAGATAGCGTGTTACACATGCTATTGAATTCGAGACTCTGTATAGCCGTGTCGACGGACATTGTGCGTTACGTGGGATATTCTCGAAATGAACACCATCGGACGAATTCAAGTCCGCTTAAGACAACAAATTCATGCCCAGCGACATTCAAATTGGCTTACCCTATGATTGCGCAATATGCTGAGCATCATCTCCGAGCACACCTCCGCCATCCCTTCTGCCCATCATCCGCCTGCGGAGCAGACCTAGAATCTAACGGCTATCGCAGTCATCAGCCCGCGAAAGTAGAATGATCTCAAATATTCAATCTTTCAGGACACGCCATAGCACCTAACCTCCGAGCACGGTGGGACATCGGCATCCTTCGCCCAATGAACAGCCCCAATCGAGCACGAAAAGTCAAGTAGTCCTACAAAATTTCATCTCCGCCATCAAGGTAAATTCATTTGGCAACCATTGGCACCGGTATATCAATCCGACATTTTGCGCGCGACTCCACATGTGGTGCTATATGTGAAATGGCGCTAAGATCTCAATGATGCCGCGTTGCGTCTCTCTTTAGAGATAATGATCCTCGATCCTAGTCCTAATATCTTGAACTCAATGGGATGGCGCGTTGCCACTCAGTTGTTTCCCCATATTTTCGCGGAGTAGGGGTATGCGATGGGAATGGTATGAGAAAACCTTATTGAAGCTACGCGAGGGGCTGGGTGGACCTGGCAAAGTCATGATGAAGGGGACGCTGTGTCATTGTGAACGGGGGATCCTTGTGATAGCACTTCTTATCGGCATCGGCATCGGTCCCGGTATTAGTCGGTGTTCCTAGGTTGACTTTCATGATGTTGACGTTGATGATTGAGGTTGCGACGGCTGGTGATGTGGGGCGGATGCTCGCTGTAGGATATTGGTAGAGGGCGTCGCGGCTCGGCAGCGGGACGATGGAGAGCGGTCAGCTGTACACGTGTTTGACGACCTGCATAATAGTAGACTATGGGACGACAGTGCCAAAAAGAAAAGTAAGGCTGTCAATGCAACCTGAAACGCTGGTACACCGTTGACAGCCATGACGGGTGGCGTATGGCGTATTCGTGCGTTAAAAAAGCAATTCCAACCGGGCCGAGAGATGACGAGTTCAGGGAAAGCAAGTATACAAGCAGGGTATTGTTCCGGTTGGGGTAAGAGGGGAAGAAGGACCCTGGTCATTAGCGACTGGAAAGAGTATCGAAACGTTGGAAATGGGACGATGGTGTTGCTCGAAAAGGGAGAGCCGATGTGATTGTGATAACATGGGAGCAAAGTGCTTCTGCGACAAAAGGAAATACTCCGATTGTCTATCTACCTGCCGTTTGTGATCCGATACCTCTATCTGCTTGCTGGCACTACGTATCCTTCTTAGTGCTAGCTGTAGTGGATTACTTTCTGGTAACTGCGCTTCTCGGTCCGCAAATCACAACCTTCCTCCTAGATCCTGCTTGAGAACGTCTAGTATCTTCTTACTATCGACATCCTCGTCGGCTCTGTCGTGCATCTGTACATTACCATCGCCTTCTTTCAGGCGTCGCAATATCTCAGGATCGAGCTCCTTCATCATCTCGTCAAACTCTTTCTGTTGCTCTCCCTCCAACAAGGCATATTCTGCTTCTAACATGAAGTCTTCTGGCAACTTCTCCATCTCAACAGGGAATACATGAATGGTTGGAAATTCAAGGATAGTGCGCCCGTGTAAGCTTTCACCTAGGGTGAGAGAAGGATCTAGAGGTATGAGGACGTGGCGATTTGTGCTCGTGCGTGGCTTTAGCAGAAAAACCCTATGTTGCTCATCGCCCATGGATTGGGTGCTTGGCTCACCATCACGATTGTCTCGAGTACGCGTGTCTGTCATGTCCGCTTGTCTTTTGGAGGCGCGTTCCTTTTGCTCTGGAGCAGGGGTTCCTCGTGCGGGGGAGATTACCTCTGCCTCCGCATTGTTGACCTGATCCGTTGAAGCGGGCGCAACGTCATCCTGCGGCTGTGGCGTAGATTTTGTTGGTGAACCTTCACGACGAGGGGCTTCGCTGTTCAGCTTTCTTTTCTTACTTGTACCGTCTGTGCCATGCTGTACGAAGGGCAGTGCGTCCTTTATCGATTGTGTAGAGGATGTCTCAGTAACCACACGTTTCTTGGTTTCATCAAACCATTCGACGGTCCATACTATGTTCCGTGAAGCCTTTCTGAACACGTAGATCAGCAGTGTCATGTGAGTACGCTGGTGCTAGGAGACTTACTTTGTTGCAGACATGTGTGACTTATTCTCCTTCTGTCTACTCATGCCTTTCGGCGCCTGGACGATCTTAACGCCAGCAGCATTTTCGAGTTTACTATACGAGACGCCCGCTCGCTGGCGGCTAGATAGACCATCTTGAGGAGTGCTCTCAGCTGTAGCGCCTGCAACCCTCTCGGCCTTTTCAAGATTACGTTCTATACCCGAAAGGAAATTGTAATCGTGATCAATACCCTTTGGGGTTACCAGATCAGACTTTTTAACAAACTTTGTTGGATCTCGCTTGCCTGAGCATTGCGCATTTTGTTGATGACGCTTGTAGCATGGCAGCGAGCATGTACGTGCGCTACACCCAGGACATTTGTACTTGGACTTGCTGCTATGGCTAATTGGTTGTTAGCTTTCTGTTCCGTCTCGGCTGTGTTGTGTTGGCTAATTTCACAGGCAAGTAGAGCAGAAATCAGGTCGATTGCCAGTGAATATGAACTTCTCCAACTTATTACCCGTAGTACGGGGGGAATCCAGCTAGACATACCATATACTGCATAGTTCATTCAGCAACATTGCATCTGTCATATCGCCCAAATAGTGGAGACGAATAACGTGATATCAGATCGCCAATACTTAGGCCCTCAAATCTGGCGCGCGATGGGGCACGACGGGAAGTCGCTTTCGCACCAAGGGCGGCGGAGAAGCCGTAGGCGTGAACAGGCGCAGGGAAGGTCTGGCGGTAGGTGCAGTTGATCGATGCGACGCGTATTGTGGCGTGTGAGGCAATGATGGGTCGCGAGGGAAAGTTTCGTATATCGGCGTTGTGGCTGTAGTCAGATATCGTCCCGTCTGAAGATGCGACGACCGGCACCAGAATGCAAGTTTTACAGTAGAGTGACAAT